CCCAGTTTTTTTTGGCGCTTCTGCTAAAATTTGCATAAGCAGCAAAATTGATTGCGTGCCAAGCTCTGAATGTAGTCGATGCCAAATTTGCTACAGCTGAATTTGTTTTCTTGACGTCCAACGTTTTCCTTGGAAAGTGCCGATAAACATTTAAATTAAAGTATAAAAGTAAAAATAATAATAATGGAAAAGATTTTGTCTTCATTACGTCCCTCAACCCAAGCAAAATGTGTTTTAAGCCAACGGAAATAATTAGTATACTTTTGTTTGGCCCCGACTTCCGGGCAGCCTTTCTTACCAGATTGTTATTATAATGATAGCAATTATTTATTTTCGTGCCAAGGGATTATTTAGAACAAAATTATAATAAAGTATTAATAAAATTAATGGGAGCTGCACAAAAGCCGGAGCTGTGATAATCAACTCCGATTTCGCTTAAATTTGTTCACAAATTATTTTCAATAGCACTAATGAAATTCTGTATTTCCATTTTTGTTTCAGTTAACACACAATATATTTTCTTTAAATTTAATGAATTTAAAAATTATATTATATATATATTATATTTATATATTGTATTATATTTATATATATTACTACAAAGTATTTGTTGATGTAAGCTTAATTTGCTTAATATATTTGTATTGTATGGCAAAGATTTGAACATCGAAGGGATACAAGTTGGGAAATATAGTTTGACTTTTTTCTTAGTGGTTGGAATAATTCTCAAAAAGTTGGAGTCTAAATGAGACTTTGGCAAATTCAAATATAAAACAAATGCTCTTAAATATTTATATATATTTATTGAATATGGTTATTTGTTAATCGCAATATAAACTTCTATTGTAATTAACAAATAACCATACAAGAATCAATACTAAAGGATATGGCTAAAGTGTATATAGTATATATTGTTATTCGTGGCATTACGTATTTACGTGCCACGAAACACGACACGTGCCCGAGTCAAGCTGCGGCTGAAAAGTAGGCTACACAAATTGCATGCCACTCAAGAGCAGACAATAACGAAGTACATCCGTTTCCTTAGTCCCATGTAGAACTTTTTCGAATGACAGCTAAACGAATTAGGGTCTGGGCTTTGGTCTGGGCTGGTCACTGAAAACTATTGGCTGCTGCTCAGTGTTGGCACATGCCGCAGGATGCAATTATGCAAATTGAAAGCAGATATTGTCAATTTGCTCTTATATGCAATATGCACACAATTGCATATGCACTTTTAATTGCATATGAATTGCAACAATATGATAATTAGGCTCTCTGACAAATTGACTGCCCCCGCAACCAATTCAAATTGAATGCTATTTCAACATAGGCTCAATTTGCCAATTTTGTGGTGTGTTTTCTGTTCTCGAGGAATGAAAGAAAATCGCTGTCGGATTCTCGACTGCAGAATACTCGCTTTTGATCCAAACGCAGTTTTATTTATTGGAAGCTAGATCAACCATATAACTATGTATAGTTTTAGATTTACCGCATTACACGTAAGAGTCTAATTTATAGCGCTATCTGTAGTCGAGGTTAACGTGGGATAAATTCTAGACTAGCCAGATGGCTAAAATATGTTTTCGATTTGCCGCTTCTTAATTTAGCAATTGATATGTTACTGCACTAAATTCTTATCTTACTTGTTACATTGCGTTTAATACGTAATTTAAGGTTGAACTATTGCTTTACTATTAGAACAATGAAAACATAATTAGTTTTTTTTCATTACCAACATCTTAAAGAGACGCACACTCTCACGAGTAAATAAACAGACGGAAAACGGATGGGACATTGCAGGAAAGCAATTTTAGGGTCTTTTTCGTGAATAAGTAAATATCATAGTTATCCTTTTTATTTTATCCTTGCCCAAGTCGAAGACAACTCTGAACTTACATTAATTGCTTGCCATTGTTGTAAACGAATCGAACGACGACTAGGGCACAGACATCCTTTGCGATAATTAAATCGATGCTCTATACGTCTCAACTAATTGAGTTAATTACGAGCATGTACGGTTTGGTTAACATATAATTATTTACTAAATTTATATGTAATCCAAACCAAAACGAATTATCTTAAATTCGGTTCAGGCGTCTATTGGAAATCTAGTTAGCTGTATTTGGGAGATATTCTGAAGAGCTTTTCTTGAAATAAGTTGGGTTTTAGCTGTATACCACGTAAATAAGTTTTGCGGTAATCGGATTAAGATACTTGAAATTTATTTAAGCACGTTCATCGTATTAAGAGATTCGCATAACTTCTAGTTTGTGCAAAATGCCTAAATTTGAGCTCTGTTGATTTGTAAGAAATAGTAACATTTATTCAGGTGAATAGAGTAGAATTTAATCCGTCAGCCTCATTGAGGGATTAGCTTTCAAATTATTAATGCAGTTTTTAATAAAATGCTAAATAATATGCATATACAAAAATAAAATAGTGCAATAAATTTTTATAATATATTAGTAAAATCAGAAGTTGTAAGGCGAGAGGAAATTGTTAATTTTAAACAATTCCAGAAGCAAATTATTATAGCATAAGGTTGTTGAAGCACAAAATGTTGCGTAAAATGTGTGTTCGTGTGTGTGTGTGTGGGTGCTAATATTTATTTGTGGGCTCTATATTACAGAATTTATAATTTATATATATATTTAATATATATATATATATATAACATATTTTAACATATTTTTTATTTATAAATATATATATATATATATATATATATATATATATATATATATATATATATATATATATATATATATATATATATATATATTTATAAATAAAAAATATGTTAACTCAATATATTTAAAATTGTTTAACTCTTTACAAAAAATTATAACTTTTTTTATTTGTATATATACCTTTATATATATCCCTCAATCTTCGTTCAGCTGTTCAGCTTAAGTTAGATGAAATCCAATTTTTCCAATATGACGCATTGACACAAACATCCCTCTAAGAAGCACATGATTATATTCAAATTCGCTACAGATCAAGTGGTTATTATAGCTATTTTGCACACATGTGCCACTCATCAGGATGTCATGCTTATGCAAAAGCTTAATGAAAATTAAATATTACCTCCGACTATTGCTTAATTGCTTATCTAGTGGAAAGCCGTGCAACATTCACTTGAAGCTTGAGGTGGGAAGTGGTTTATTAGAGATTGTTGCTCATACGAACGGATGAAGCTCAAATTAAATCACCGAAAACTACAGATTCGATTTGCAGCGTTATTGCGTTATTTTCCCTCATCAGCAGTCTCCTTTTTACCAATTTGAGCTCAACTTGAGCTTCATTGACTTTTCATTGTTATCTTAGAGCTGCTTTGGCCAGCTTGCAAAGGGCGAAAAGGTCTGAGAGCAAATCAAACATGAGCTTGTTTGTGTCCATAAAAATTGAATTTATCTAGGCAGTTGATGCTCATTTTTATGTATATAAATCTATATATAATTGTAAAATTATATATAAATTTTTAAAAGAAATAAAATAATGCTTATCTTTTAAAACAGAAAAACCCTAAGCTCATTGACTTTATTGACTCCAATAAATGAATCTTATAAATATACCAATTTCTTGGTTGGTTCGTGGCTAGCACGCGCATTCAAATAATCGATATTTTATGGTTATTGATTTAAAAATTGATCAAAATGCAGTTTCTTATTTATTATATTTCGTATGGCTTAAGAGCTAGAGCCTCCAATTGTTGTATATAGTATATATATGTATATTTTATATAATTTTTATATTTGTTACATTTTGGATACCGCCACCAAACATTCCCAATTTCTTCAAGTTTAAGTTCAGTTGGAAATACGGCTAATGTGCTTGCATTTTTACTCAGCTGAAAATTACTTCAATCGAATAGATCATATGCTGAAAATTTCAATGAAATCCAGTAAGTAAAACAGAAGTTAACAGAAGTTAAGAACAAATCGATTGGCCAATTTGCAAAAGCACACGTCAAGCGTATGCATTTCCAAGCATATGCATTTCTCCTATGCACACAAACATTCAAATGGGAGTATTCTTCTCTATTCCAAGAATCTAAATTGCCATGGAATTGTGCTTGAATTATCAGCTGCTACTTAAGTTGAGATTTGCAAGTTCCTGCCTCTAAGGAGAGGCGGCGCTCGTTGCTGTCAAGTTCTGAGTTTGATGCCAATAAATTTATTATTAAAAAACGCAGAGGACACCCCGACCACTTTCTTACTTGTTTTATAATTGTTTGTTCGTTGTTTCGTAAATTACAAATTATTTTTTATTTGTTAAAAAAGAAATGCAACTATATGCAAAAAGATACATGAATAAGCTACATAACCACGATAATGCTCTACCACTAAGGCTACTGGATGACTCAAGCAACCACAGGCGACTTAAAAGATTTCATGTCCTAGACATGCCCCACAGAAATAGATAAATATGTAATGTAGGTAAATATATAGATTGATTTCATTAGAGTCCAAGACATCCGGCCATGTAATATTATTGTTAAAAAATTTGTTTATTGTCTAGTATAAGACAGATTGCAAATAAAAACCGCAAAAATTAAAAAAAAAACTTTTCAATATTTATCGATTACATATTTGACTTATCTATAGCTTATATTTATATTAATAATTCTATTAAACAACCGATGTGTGGCACACAAAGGACAACCGTTTAGGTAATGCAGAAATCCTTGATGCACGTGCTGGAACATGCGCTTGTATTTGTTTGCGATGCAGTTTTATTGAAGCCACTGTGACGTAAATTGATTTGTATTTTGATGAGCACACTCATACAAATACTCACATAGATTAATATATATCTGCTAGCGTGTCCAAAGGCCTTTTGGAAGCTCGTATTTGCAATTGTTGTGTACATTGAGCAATAGTTTTGCATTTATTTCTTTTTTGTATGTGGATGTACATGTGCTTACATTAAACTTCTCTCTCTCTCTATCTATCTGTCTCTACTTCTCATTGTCTCTCTCCATCACTGAGCAGGGACTTTCTCACTGAATGCCTCTTTCCATCGCCCACACGGCCATATGAGTTGCCGTGGGAGCAGAAAACAATTTGGGCTATCGTGTTTGGTCTGATGATGTTCGTGGCTATTGCGGGCAACGGAATAGTGCTGTGGATTGTAACAGGTAAGCTTTTAATAGGTAAACGGCTTAACGTGCCAGCAATTGTTTAAAATGCGATGCTCTAAAGCGCAATCTCGACATGTGAACACGTGGACTTAAACCGTGTATGGTCACATAGCTGTTCGTATGTCAACTTCGCTACTATTGCTTTGAAAGGCAAAGCAACCAATATCCGGTGGCTTTGTCTTTGTTGTCACGTCTTACAATTTCTGGCATTTTCTCGTTTCTGTCCGCAGGACATCGCAGTATGCGCACGGTCACAAATTACTTCCTGCTGAACCTGAGCATCGCTGACCTGCTAATGTCCTCCTTGAATTGTGTCTTCAACTTTATATTCATGGTGAACTCGGATTGGCCATTTGGCTCGATTTATTGCACCATCAACAATTTTGTAGCCAACGTAACGGTTTCAACTTCGGTCTTCACCCTGGTCGCCATCTCCTTCGACAGGTGAGTGCTAAGTGTTTGCCATAATTCCATTGCACCATTGATATACATCTGTATTCCCATCCGCATCGGCATCCGTTGTTGCATCCGTTTCGTATACTTTCAGATACATTGCCATAGTACACCCGCTGAAACGCCGCACGTCGCGTCGCAAAGTGCGCTTCATTCTCGTCCTGATCTGGGCACTGAGCTGTGTCCTGTCCGCCCCCTGTCTGCTCTACTCCAGCATCATGACAAAGCAGTAAGTGAAGTGACTCCACGATGTATATATATATATATATATATATGACCTTGTCTCGGCTTTACAAAGTCAGCGGCGGGGCCAGCAGTCTCAGCCGAATATTTTGTTTATTTTCCGACAGTAATAAACATAAAGAACTTTGAAAGACAAAAGTTCAAGATACTTTTCACGTAGATACTTTCACGCACAAAACACCACCTGCAGCGTAGTCACCCGCTGTGGTTTCTAACCATATTTCCATCGATTCGCTGATACTTCAAGATGTTGTACTATGTGTTTGCTAGCCCCTTCCCATCGCTCAAATATATTATATTAGCTAACACTGTCAGTTGACGTCAATGCAAGCACCTGAAGCTAAACAAGCCTCCTAACTTCACTTTGATTTGAATTTTACGCAAATTCACGCACTTCAATGAGCCAAATGGCACGTTCACTTAATAGAATTGAAGCATTTTATATTTAACCTACTTGACTGACTGACGGACGGATGGACTGATGCACTGAGTGGACTGATTAAATGAGTTTCACTGGCAAACATTCTTGAGATAAAACGTTGCCTAGGGTAATAGACAAGCTCACTTATCGAAAAATTTATAGCATATTGAGCTTAAATCTGTATATAAGTGGAAGAAGAAAAAGTATTAACTAACGAAGAAATTGACGCATATGAGCACATATTATTAGCTCAGGCAATTTGTTTAAGAGGATAAATGCACAAATTCGCACCAAGTTGTGGGTGGCAGACACACATAGGATTTGTACAATAATACAAAATAATACAAAAGTTAAGTCTGGCTGGCTGAAGATAAGCTTTTTTCCTTAAAAATTCAATTATAGATTTAGATAATAATTGAAAATTATATGACACTTAGAAAAGCAGATTGACTACCAGAAAAATGTCATAAATAGTAAGTAAAATTTAAATATATATTTAAAATATGAAGTATCACGTAAAAAATATTTAATGAATACTCTTTAGAACTATCGGTACTTAAATTGATGGAAAATCAAAAACTATGACAAAGATAAGCAAGAACAATTTATTTAGACATAACTGAACACAAAAAATATCGGAAAGTCGAAATCAACTGCGAGAAACATTATGTTAGTGTGGGAAGCAGACAGAACAAATATAAAAAATATAAGGGAATATCACTAATGTAAGAAAAGCCCCTAATATATAGACAAAAATATATAAATATATAAATATACACAGTCAAGAAAGTATATCATATCTATTAAAATATATTTAAAAACTATAAATAAATCAAATTCCAGTGAAACTATTAACTAATTATTCAATATTTAACTCATTAAGCGCAATTGGATTGAATTGGACTGAATTGTTCAACCAGAAAACAGACAAATCTATTGGGCTGCAAACTTGACCTTAAAGTTGCCAATTTCAACGCTCGAGTTGGCCGACAATTCACTCAATTAATTACCTAACTGCCAATTGCATTCGCAATGAGCCCCTAAACTGCTGGTTCACAAATTGTCGCCGAGGGCGAAGAACTGTTCAATTTTCCAAATCAGATTCTTGTGAAAAGGCTTCGATGTTAAAGTGGTGGAAAAGGCGTCTTTAATATGCCTTTTTCCGTCTTGACGCTTCCCGGTTAACTTTTGGGGCGTGAAAATTTTCACGGGCACTTTGGGTTAGGTTCGCTTTCATAATAATTAAATTATGTTTCAAAGTGTTGGGCGCAACAGAAACTGGTGAGATACCTTTATACATTATATAAATTTCACTTAGGTGCGCGGCAAAAGTTTTATGTTTACCTTACCATTTAAAGCAATTAACATTAGCTGAGATAACGAACGGGTGATATTTATAAAATTACTTGACAGCTATTATAACGGAAAATCGCGTACAGTTTGTTTCATGATGTGGCCCGATGGACGTTATCCCACATCGATGACCGACTATGTGTAAGTATTGAAATGCGCTTTAGCAATACTAAAACTAACTAACTCTAAATAATTATCAATGGACAGCTATAATTTGACCATATTGGTGCTGACCTACGGCATACCCATGATCGTAATGCTCGTCTGCTACTCACTTATGGGTCGAGTTCTGTGGGGTAGTCGGTCGATTGGTGAGAACACGGATCGCCAGATCGAATCGATGAAATCGAAGCGAAAGGTGGTTCGCATGTTCATAGCCATCGTCTCCATCTTTGCCATTTGCTGGTTGCCCTATCATATGTTCTTCATCTATGCCTATCACAACAATCAGGTGGCATCCACAAAGTACGTGCAGCACATGTATCTCGGCTTTTACTGGCTAGCCATGTCCAATGCCATGGTGAATCCGATCATTTACTACTGGATGAACAAGAGGTGAGTTCTAATTGACAATTTATAAATGAGAAGTTCAAGCTACGCCATGAAAATTAAAAAGATGCCAAAATATAATGCTGAAAGCCAGAAAAGAGAAACTGAAAGGAGAACAAAAAAGATTGCAAAAATGAAACTTAAATTTTCTATTTAATATATATCCCTTTGCAGATTCCGCATGTATTTTCAACGGATAATTTTTTGTTGCTGCTTGGGTCTTACACGATACAAGTTTGACTCGCCAAAGAGTAGACTGGCGAACAAGAACAGCTCGAATCGAAATACCAGAGGTACGTACAATGGGACTCTGTAGGTATCTGTATCATGTGATTCATCCAATCGGCATATGTGTGTGTAGTGGAGACCAAAAGCCAGTGGAAGCGCAGCACAATGGAGACTCAAATCCAGCAGGTCCCCATCACATCGTCACGGGAGAGGCAGGCGCTGGACAAGCGCTGAACCACATGGCAGTGGAGTGCATCATCGAGAGGCCAATGGATGATAATAGCTCCCCCATTTGCCTATCTATTAACAACAGCATGGGCGAGCGACAGCATGTGAGAATTAAATACATTTCATGCGATGAGGACAACAATCCCATTGAGGAAGCGTCCGAAGGCAACAGCAACCAAAGTCACAGTTACAGTCATAGTCACAGTCACGGTCACAATCACACCCACAGATGCACTCACAGCCAAAATAAGACAGGCATTCAGCAACTGTGATGTAAAAGTATTGAAACGGTTTCGTCTTTTGAAAGAGAGCCAATCAAAAGAAGAGTAATTTCATTGTAAATACGAAACAAGAAGTTGTGGTTTTCAGACAAACGAATATTAACGAAATTGTATGAATTTTTAGAGTGTAATCCAAAACGTTTTCATCCACTCAAATATGTAAGTAATACATCAATAATGAGATGTACGTTTTTAATGTTGTATAAATATATAGTACAATTTAAATTTATTGTAGCGGCTCGAATATAAATATGTATTTCCTCTCTCTGCTTATTACAATTTAAATTAAATGAATGTCTTTTAAATAGTGGAGAAGTTCATAAATTACATATTGTTGAATATTCGGGTTTTTAATATGTAAACTTTTTATTTTGATTTTGTTTTACACTGACAAATTTGAGTTTCTCATATTATTTATCCATATATATATATATATATGTATAAATATTTAAACATGTATGTAATTGTGTAAATTGTAAATAAATCGTAGAATTTGGTGAAATTTTAAAAAATTTTGGAATATTTGTATAATGGGTCTTAAAAAAGTGGGTCCTTTAACTTAATAAAAATTTTAAATGCGGAACTGTGAGTTCTGCAAATACAAGGATACAATTCTTTCTAGTTCGGTCTGCAGCTTTAGTCCTTCAAATGTAATTCATTCACATTTTGTATTATGTTTTATTCTAAAGCAATTTAATTAAAAAATTAATTTAATTAAAGAATGAATGTGTAAAAGTAAGTCTAAACTAATAATAATACCAAATAATTTATTTTTAAAAATATATTTAAATCAAATTTTTTTTTCTATATATTAAACTTTTTAATAATTTATTGAGATTGTTTATTTAAAAAAATAACTATGAAACATGAATTTCAAAAATTTAATAATAATAAAAAAATCAATCAATAAACATAATATAATATAAACAAATATAACTTTACTTTCTTTTTATTTTAACATAATTTTCTTTTATTTATATATATAAATATAGTTAAACAAGTAAGAAAGCTCTAGTTGGGGTGCCCGACTGGGAGATACCCTGATCCCAGTCCTCTTTGAGTACGACACAGGATTTGAACCCACTATTTTTACGCAACGCGCACCACCGCCACTTCATAATTTTAAAAAATAAAACAATAAAAAATATTTCATCTCCACCGATCTCGGACTCTTTGAGTAGCTGCTTACGAGCATCGCCTCTACCAACGCAGCCACTGCACCACTAGCAAGAAGAGTTGACAATTTGTAGTTTAGTAGCAGCTGATAATTCAAGCAGTATTCAATCGCAATTTCGTTTCTTGGAATAGAAAAGAATACATGCATTTGAATGAATGTGTGCACACGCATAGGACAAATGCGTGCGCGTGGCGCTGCTGACATGTGCTTTTGCAAATTGGCCAAACGTTTTGTTTAATAACTTATGTTTTACTTAATGGATTTTAATGAGATGCAAACGCCTTCACATAATGCCCCTAGTTCCAACTGAACTTAAATTTTAAGAAGTTGGGGTAATTTGGAGCCGGTATCCAAAATCCAAGAAAATTTAGAATTACATAAAATATACATACAAAAACTAAATACAAAATTTGGAGGTTCTAACTCTTAAGACGTTCGAGATATAATTTATTTACTGCATTTCAATAAGGTTTTTATTCGATAACAATTAATTGCGAATAGTTATCGAATATTTGAAACAAACTTGACCTGCGCGTCCTATACACGGACCTACAAAAAAAGTCAAAAAAGTCAATTCTCTAGCTCTTATAAAAGCTGAGATCGACGCGTTCACACATACGGACAGACGGACGGACGGATGTAGAATATGCTGAAAATTTCATTAAAATTGCGATTGAATACTGCTTGAATTATCAGCTGCTACTCAGCATAAATTTTGCAACACTTCCTGTAAGCTGCATTTATAGAGGCGGCGCTCGTAAGCAATTAGTCCCAGGGTTCGAGACAGGTGGAGTTGGAATATTTTTTATTGTTTTTTTTTTTAATTATGAAGTGGCGGTGTTGGTAGAATGGTGCGCGTTGCGTAAAAATAGTGGGTTTGAATCCTAGTGTCGCACTGTCGATTTTTATTTATTTTTTGAATACTCGATACAAACTACGAAAAATATTAAAAAACTCAAAGAGGACTGGGATCAGGGTATCTCCTAGTCTGGCACCCCGACTAGAGCTTTCTTACGTGTTTTTTATAGATTCTATTCAACAGAGCAATGAATAATTTTTAAAGGCAAACATAAGTTTTTATAAGAAACATAAATAATTTATTAGTTGGGGAACCAAAAGTTGTAATACATTTAAGTAAGCCGAACGAATTGAATAAAGTAAATTTGATTGAAAATTTCGTCAATTTATCAGTGAAAGTTTTTCTCCGGTCAGGTCATTTATACAGCTTTATATGCTTGCCTAGCTTTTAATGCTTGATTAAGTCATAAATAAGTGGCTTGGTGAGTGCTCGGTACAATTATTGAACAGTTTTTGCAAAGCTTTGTGAATTTGTCATTTTTATAAAAAGTTGCCTGGGGCTATTTGCGCATTTCTTTAGCTGCTTACAGGAATCGAATTATCATTGTCCAATGGAACACTTGGCCTAACCAAAGGTTGTTTTGCATTTAATGAATGCAAATGCAAAATTGTCATTCATTCAACTATTCAAAGTGGATACTTTGGATTTGGCTTTTGGAGTGTATTGCAAATGGATAACGATTGTACTAAAGGACTTTCACAAAAGATGCTCAAAACTTGCATATTTAAAAGTTTGTTGAAAAAGGTCACAATAAACCTAATGGATATGGAAATAAATACCCAACAACCTGCTCTCACAAAAACAATTTTTACAAAACAGATAAAAAGGAAATCAAGCAAATTTCAATAAGCTCTGCACAAGTATCAGAATATCAAAGGAAAAGTTGTGCAAAGGAAATATATTGTACCTTTATCTTAAATGGAAGTAAAAAAAGAAACTTTTACAAATGTAACCAGCTAGGTGATGTCAAAGCGTAATATTTGTTCACGTTACTTTAACTAAAATTCTAGTTACTAGCTAAATTAACGTCTTATTTGCTAAGAAAGATAACGTTGGCTTGATTTTTACTGTTCCACACACTTAATCATTCTTGAAATGATAAAGATTGTTGTACAAAAAAAGTGGGCAAGCTTTATGAGTTGGTAACTGTAAGGCAGCTCGATTTTCTATGGAATCTGTGTGAGTTGCTGCAACTGCTATACATTCGCGCACAGTTGTCATAGAGAACGGGAATCCGCTGTCATATTAGACAACAAAAATTAAATACATGTTACAAAGGCTTTTAGCAATTTGTAAGCTGCGAGAAAAACATTTCCAATTTTTTTATACTTGGCAGCGTTAATGCTCGCAAATTGCTTGTTGTGATAACTTGGACGATAAACCCTATTTACAGCTAGCTATGCTTGGATTGCTATTTTGTTTGCAGCCTACAACACATTAAGCGTAATAGGATTTTATGGGATGTTTTGAATGGGTGATACAGAGAGGGGACCCTGCAGCGGGGACATAGAAAAGATTCCATTCAAACGTCGTTTAATGGTATGAAGACATAAAATATCAATTTGCATAATATGATGATTTTTGGTTAGCAGTTTCTTATGTGCCTACATATTGAGCTTTTTAAGTTCTTCTTCACTAAGAAAAGTGAGTATATTGGTTTTGCCCAACTCTCCTTATGAACGCATATTATTTTACCTCTATCAAATGTAGAGTTTTAAAATAGGTAATATACATTCGTGTACTAGTGGTTATTATTATACGCTAAAAAAAGTTTACATGTTGTATAAATACTTATAAAATAAATGAATTCATTTACAGCTTTAAAGCTTTGTAAGTAAATATTAAAGAAAACATTTATTCTTAATAAACTTAGTTATTTTTGGATCATGAAAGAGTATTATGTAGTCGGCTATGGCTAAAACCAAAGGTATTGCTTTTCTCAGTCGTTAGCTTTTTACTTCATTGTCATGGCAGCAAAGGTCTTTAAATTCAGTTGAAAGAAATCCCATTATTCCGCTGTGTGAATACTTCACTGATATCACATGCCGTTGCCTCTCGCAACAGACATCGACATTCAACTGTTGGCAATTGTAAGCGATCAGAAGAAGCAAAGCAGACAACCAGTTTAGCCCAGCTGAACGGCGTATAGTCAAATTAAATAACAATCATTTCTCAAATGATATGCAATATAGATGGAATGAGAAGTTCATAAGAAAAAGCTGGTGCAATTCGAATAGGCACGCAACAAGTTGACTATCTAATTGGCAAGTCTGCTGTCATTATGTTATTCAATAACAATTGTGGTTTTCTGTGAATTTAAGGTGATGCCAATACCCAGATTCTGAGGCCCAGTATGTTTGACAAGCTGAAAAGCTTCATTACATTAAATGGAAACATTAATGGTTTAAAAAGGTAGCCAAAGAAATTATTGTTTTTGCTTATAAATTTATTCAAAAATATCTAAGTGGATATTTTGTACGAGTTTTCGGTACAAGAGCTGGCAAAGCAAACTTCTAAACCTTAAACTGATACTCAGTGACATAACAATGAAATTAAGCGAGCTTGAATTGGATAACTTAAGAAATACATAATATAAGTTGAATATTTATATTTTTTAATTAACAATATTCTATTTATAATTACATATGACATAAACTGACAGAAATAAAATACATTTGCCTGACTCTTGTACTAGGTCTTAAACAAGTCGTTTATTTGACAGCGCAGCTTGAGAAAGGTCGAGCATGTAATAAAATATGTCTATATATGTGTGTAATTCAATATATAATCGATCGAAATATTATTTGCACTTCTCTTCTTTGCCGATACAAATGTCATGTCCCTGTCAAATGCAAAAGGCATCCAAAATTGCTCTTTCGTTTGAAATTCTTATATCAAATACACATTCACATTTCATTGCAGATATTTCAAATGCTATTTATACCCTCTGCTCATTGAGTGTGGCTAGAGAGGGTATACTGTAATTGTGCAGATGTCATTTCTATCAGTATCAACATCTGATTGATTAGTTAACCTTCTGTCTATCTGCTTATTTATGTCAGTCTGTTGGGCATTTATAAATAAATTTGTTTGTTAGATGAATTTGATATATTATATTATTATTATTGTTATACACGGATTCCCTACATACAATAACGATTTGGATCTGAGCATTATTCCGGCCGATCTAGACTAACATTTGTTAGCAACCGACACCAAAATCGAACATACAGTCAATAATCAGAAATAACAAGTAAGAATGTTGCGATCGGCTGCTCAATACTCATTCACTATATAAGCGCTGCTAGTCATGTTTGTTCCGATTTTACACGCCATCAAGAGGGTTACATAAATAAATTTTGTAAGATCAATAGAGGAGGTCAACAGTAATTTTTGAATATCTAGCTGTAGAAGTATACAATGTAAATTTTTTCCCGAATTGCCACGCCCCAGACTGGTCACATTACTAACCTAATTGTAAAATGAGAGGCGTTGGCCTCGAAATGTGAAAATTACAGGGTATTTTGTACCGATGGTGGAGGTCAACAGCAACTCAATAATCGAATTCGTATGTGCCTAGCTCTAGAACTTTCCAAGATATAGATTGTTGAAGTTAGCCACGGCCCCTATAAGCACAGATATATAATCTATATCTTTTCAGATGTGGATTGCACTCACCGAATATGTACCAAATTTCAGCTCTAGCACTAATAGTATTAATCTATCTAAATTTAAAAGAATTTGTCCAAAACACTAAATAGTCAGATCTGATGTGCCACGCCTCTTGATAAATTCAAGTCTATGGCACTTTAAGGAATAGGTCTTCTGACTACTCGATTTAGTCTTTCGATCGGGAATACCTCAACGCTCTATTAAGCAAGACGGACATTCGCAAAACCAATACACTCATTTCACTTTGCGAATGAGTGAAAAAAATGACACAAAAATAAAAAACGCAACTCACAGCGTATCGAGAGCAAATGGTTGACTTCACATGCACATGACATGTTGGTATGTCCTCTGATTCGATTTGGAGTATATATACTAACTATATGTATTCAAAATGACAAGCAGCTTATTTGAATATGACTGCGTTTGCAGTATTCATTAAAAACAGAAAAATATAATTAGTTATCGAAAATGCAATACACAAGGCGGAAGAAACAAAACATAAACTAAAACATGAAATGGACTTGAATACGTTGTAAGCTTTATTAAAGAGGCAAAAGATTTTTAAAATTTTAGCTCATCGCTTTTCAAGCGAGTAATAACATTTTTTACGAAACTTTTCAAGTTGTTTGATGTTTAATTAAATGTCGACTGTCAGTAACAAGAAACTCGCATATTTTTATTTAGAACATGTTGTAGTTAAAGTTTATGGAGAATATAAATATATTTTTATTCCGACAGATGCAATAATATACTTATATTATCTGATTCGTCGATGTATTTATAACTTAACTAAATATATATTCAAACGTTTTCACTATGAAGAAATCCATTTTTTTTTTAAATTATATATTGACATATTCAATAAGTTAACTATTTTAGGCTGGTCTATGTAGAGGCCCATAAACTATTTGAGTGCTGGTTAAAAGCATTGATATACAACAAATCGATAACAATTTTAGTACACTTTTTAAACAGTGTACAAAAATTTAAAACTCTCATACATTCGAAATGATTTTTCAGAATTTGTGACTTGTTTATAGGTCTCAGTAGTCAATTTGTTTTCAAACAGAATTTTTTAAAACAACATATTTCAGTCCCAAGATTTTATCCGCTCTCAACATATATTTCGTTAAAAAAATTCTTTCAAAATGATTGGGGTGCTTGTAAGCAAAACATCACTTGGCGTTGTGGCCGGCTTAGCCAGCGCGGCATTTGTTGGGTATTGCGTCTATTTCGATAGTAAGCGACGCAGCCATCCGGAATTCAAAAAGAATCTCTACGAGCGACGTCGTCGCAACCGAAAAGCCGAGGAGCATGAAAGTGTGCCTATTTTGACCGATCAACGATCCATCGAACGCTATTTTATGCAGGAAATCCACAAGGGCGAGCTTCTGATCACCGAGGGTAACTTTGAACGGGGCGCCGATCATCTTATGAATGCGATCGTTGTCTGCAACAAACCAGGCAAGCTACTCAGCGTGCTGCAATCGACACTGCCTGTGGAGGTGTTTACTCTGCTCGTGTACAAATTGAACAATTACAATATGAACGCCCAGAGACAGACAAGTATAAATGATAATTTAATGACTGGACTAGTTGCTGACGACGGAAGTGTGGAATAGGTCATCCAAATCGTCGATTTAAACTCCCAAATTTCTATTCGTTTATTCTTTCAAGATTCAAGTTAATACGTTTTAAGCATTATATATATCTATGTATATATATATATAGTGAAAGTAAGAGAGCCGAAAATGATTATTTGTATTTTCATCTGTGAAATGATACGATTACCTAGTTAACAATAGAAACCAATTGGACTAATTATCTAAGAGCATTTTCATATCTTGAGATGCCCAATTTTCTCGAGCGCAATTTGCGCATATCATAAAGTCTAGCACAACTTTTATATGTGTGAGTAGGTGGCTTGCTCTCGCAGAAAAATAACTTTATTGTCAAACAATTTCCAAAAATAAGTGGTGTACGATTAATTTTATAGATACCCTGTACTCGGATTAAAATTGCTTCTGTAGAAATAGCAAAATAGTTGTGGGCAATCGTTGCACGTACCAAGAAGTAGAAAAGATTTTCCCGCCGTAATATTCCGATGTGGGTTGATTACCCACAAGAAAATTTCCAGAATATCGTATGGATAAACGTTTCCACAGCATCAATACGCATTACACAATATATAAATATAGACGGTGCAGTCTTCTGACAGCTGACAGCTTTAAGCCTTTGGAAGAACTATTTTTTCACATCTATCACGCCCTCAAGAGACATACAATGTTTAATAAATCATTAGAGGAGGCTAACTGAAAATTAAGCTTCCAACTGTAAAACTGTAGAATATTTACTGGAAATATAATCAAAAATTTCTCCAGCTGCAATAGCGTCAAATGGTTTGCAAGGCGGATATAACATAAAGGCAATATACTCTATGAATTCGTGAATGAGTATGAGAATATACATTACAACTGCTATTGATGCCGAGAAGCAATACATATGTATGTTGTATGGCATAAGATTTCTACTGTTTCTTACATACACCGTTAGAATATCTTTATATACAGGGTATAACAAATACATTGTTCAAAGTTATTCCGCGAAAGTTCGCATGAGCACAATGAGAAATGAGGAAATTGCAATGACTTTAACTTTTTCCAGCACATACTTTTTCATTTGATTTGAAAAGTATCAGCCAAGTTTCGGTAATAATGTCTTTAATGTCTTTAATTATGCCTATTACCGACCTATTGTCAGTCGCTAGAATTGGCAGGTATTAGCACATTTTGCCGGGCTCTGGCAAAATCATTGGGTGAAATAATTAAAAGTTGATACTGTGCCAGTTTGAGGTGTCGAAATTAACAAGGTATTTACATTATCTGCAGAAGGGACCATTATGGCCGTGCCTCTGTTCTTGATTAGTATTGGCTTGGCTGCTCACAAACAAAGTGGCTGACAGGACAGTTCCGGTTATACATATATATACACATAAATATCTTACTCGACAGGCAAACAAACAGCACACTGGGGAGCGACCAGAGACAGAAAGCTAGCTGGTGTCTGACCCTGATATCTCAGCTCGGTTTATGTGCATAATTTGGCAGAAAGTCGACCCCATCGCACAGGACATTTGTCATTCGCAGCAAACACCACAGATGCTATATCGTTGGCCATGTCAGTTGTGGGTATTAACTGAAACGCAGTGACCTTTGCTCTTTCAACCCAGCAGTCTGCCTCACCTCCAGCATTTGCTATCGTGGCAAACAGTGTTTATGTAAAGTTTTGCACTCTGTTTGTCTTGGGTCGTGCATAGCTCTTGTGTTCGGCATTATCGAAACATGGTATGTATATTAACCCCAAGCAACATGCTGACATACCTTATGGCACTTAGACAAGGGCCGCAAGTTGTTGAAAGGTCGTTAATCTCAAGAAAAAAACCAGTGGGAATTCGGCATGCTTTTTGCTTAGATTTTGAAGTGGGGTCCTTTGATTTGAGTTTGTTTAAAAGAAATTAAATCCAGATTAGCTCGCGAGCTTTCCATAATATATGTTCGCTACGCACATTGCCAAAATTGCTGTCTGTGAGTTAAACTGTTCGTCGAATTGTGAAGTACGCGAATTTATTTGTTGGAGTCCAACTGCTAAAACAGACGACAGATATACGTCAAACTAATTACATAATGCGCCATTGTCCCGCAATTACGAGATAGCACAGCGCACTCGCATGAGTGGGTGCGATGCAGCAATGCAGTGAGCCAAGGATCCTTATCAGACTCATTTCCAAATTGAGCAACAGCCAACAAACACAAAGCTTCACTAGAATGTGCACAAAAAGATTCAGAGCGATGATAAAAGTAAACAGATTTAGTCTGCTGGAACTGACTGCACAATGGTCGTTCGCGTTTCAAAAATATCTAAAGTTTTTTAAAAAATTTAAAATGGATTGTCCATCAACAATATATTATAATAATTCATAAATAGGTCTATATGTAGATGAGGTCAAATTACCAAATTTGTAGTTTCAAAACTGTAATAAATATTCATTAAGGCGCGGACCTACATATCTGGCGGTGGACTACTCTAATATAAGTTTAATATTTGAATTTTACTCCTGTAGCACCGGAGGGATAGATCGACGAACAGTAATATAAGAGTAATATACGTTTTCACTTCATGTATGAATATAAAAAGAAAAATTATCTTATTTGATGAAAAATGATTTGATTCTCCTGTTGTCCTGACAGCGCCGTATTTGACATTAATCCAGCCTGGGTATAACAAAACCCACACACACATCTGCTCGCACACACATCTGCTTATATGTATATTATTATACATATATTAATTAGACTGCTGTTGCCCTACTATTCAGACTGTGTAGGGCATCTAACTTTGTTAGCACTCATTAGGGTCCTTAGCAGACGCAAAATAGAATATTACACTGTGAATACTTAGAACACAGCGTGAAAGCAAAAGGCAATATTAATACTCGCCATTTTTGGGGTTTCAAACAGGGAAATAATTCATTGTATTTCCAATGCATATCATGCTTTATTCTATTGTGAATCTCAACATATTGATATGCGGAACTTGCAGTAAATTAATTTAAGCTGCATTAAAAACAAATGTTTCAAACTATAAAACATGCACAATTTTAGGCCGCTTTGTGCCCATCAAAACAAACACATGCTTACTTCAAAAAACAAGAAAAATAAAACAAACATGATACCTGGCTATGACGATTTGGAAATACCCTTTACTTAACCTTTTAACAAACCTAGTAAAATGCAGGCCATTATTTTTATTTTCTATTATATTATTTTATTTATTTATAAAAAACGCTTAATTTCATAATAAGTTATTAATGAAAAGTGTATATGGGAATGTATAATATCATAACATAGGCAGTATATATCTTCTTCTAAGGAGTTTCACTTATGTAAAAGTATGAGCTACACACAAATATATTAAGTCTTCCTTAAGTTGCATAAACTTTATCATATGTCAGCGCCTTAAAAGCAGTTTAACTATGTTGAACACATTTTAAGTGTATTAAAACTATAATAAACAATAGCAATGGTAGCATAAAAAATAGTTACTTGCCCTTACCCTGACATTTGTATACCCTGGACAATAGCTGTTATTCTCCATGCACTGCTATCAGATGAAAGTCATGAAAGTAGATACTATAAAATTGTGTTCTAGCTGTGTATTTCAAATTTAATTTATTTTCCTAGCCTAGTAATAATTAATTTAATTTATAGATATATATATTTGTATATATATCTATATATATATATATATATATATATATATATATATATATATATAATATATATATATATATATATATATATATATATATATATATATATATATATATATATATATATATATAAATATAATAAATATACAGATTCTTTTTGCATGGTATCTTCTAAGCTAATACTCTCTTCTACTACTTTTTTAAGCCTACGAGTAAAAAAACTCGCACCACTTTATCCTGCGCAGACATTTATTCCCAACTGCGAACATCACAATGTTTCTCATCCTTTTTTATTTGTGTGTGTGTGGCGATGTGGCTGTGTGCCTGAGTGAGAAGTTTTGTTTCATATTTTTTCCGTTATTCGCACGTTCCGCAATTTGTACCCTCAGCTGTTTTGAATTACATTTTCATACCCTGATCCCATTGAAAAAAGGGAATCGGGGTATAATGGTTTTGAGCAAATGTATGTAACAGGCAGAAGGAGGCGTGGCAGACCCCATAAAGTATATATATTCTTGATCAGGACAAGCCAAGTCGATTGAGCCCTGTCCTTCCGTCTGTCCGTCCGTCGATCTTAGATCTATTAGGTCTATTAGGTCCGTGTATATCACGCGCATATCAAGTTTGTTTTAAAATTATCGAAAACTGTTCTTGTTTTATTGTTTTTGATTAAAAACATGATCAAAATGCAATTATAAAATTATATCTCGTACGGTTGAAGAGCTAGAGCCTTCCAATTTTGTATTTAGTTGTATGTATATTTTATGCAATTTTGAGTTTTGTTGGATTTTGGATACTGGCTCCAAATTTCCCCAAATTCTTTAAATTTAAGTTCAGAGGGAAATAGGTCCATTGTGTGAAAGCGTTTGCATTTATACTTAGCTCACAATTACTCCTATAGAATTTATAGATCATATGCTTAAAATTGCATTAAAATCCATTAAGTAAAACGTTTGGACAATTTTCCATTTTGGTGTCGGAATGTTGGTTTTTATTTCTTTTTATTTTAATACTCGATACAAACTATTGAAAATATTAAAAAACACGGATAGGACTGGGATCAGGGTATCTCCTAGTCTGGCACACCAACTAGAGCATTCTTGTTATGTTTGCGCTCTGTGGTGAAAAGTCAGTAAAACATCAGCAAAACTCGTAATTTTTCTTTGCCTTGTCTACGCTATATGCCACCCAGTGGAAAACGAAAGGAAATGAACTGCAATAACCCAAATCAAACGACCAACTTAAAATTGTTTTTTACCATTGGTATAAAATATATGTAAACTACAATTGTCAATGGATGCTTGATTTTATAAATATATTCTGTAAGCAGCTTTGATTTATTCAATTATTCTATAAGTGTGACTTCATGTATATATATGTATACTAAGAAACTTCATTCAAAGCTCTGACATAATTTATAGAAAAAAATAAAATATATTCAAGCATTTAAAGTTTATAGCAAAATATTATTTTTATCTGGTAAATTGCCTGGAAATAAAAAAATGGAAAAGATTTTTGCCTGATTCCGAATCGAAATATATGATTACAAATTTTT